GGTGCAGTCCACCCTCCTGGCCCTGGCCAGCATGGTGAGTGTGGCCGAAGGGTCGGGGCGTGGGGCCGTGGGGGTGGGTGGCTTTGGAGGGTCTGGGCTGCGAGTGGGGCCCAGCCCAGTGTGGGTGGGAGGGGGAAGAGCAGGTACCAGGAGGGGACAATGTGGCCCAGAGGCTCCCTTGTCAGCCCCCTGCTCCCTTTGCCCTCCCCAGGCCAAGACGAAAGGGAATAAGGTGAACGTAGGGGTGAAGTATGCAGAGAAGCAGGAACGGAAATTTGAGCCAGAGAAGCTAAGAGAAGGGCGGAACATCATCGGTCTGCAGGTACTGGCCCTTCCTCACCTGGGGGTTTTGCTGCTGAGCTCAGCTGGGAGGTCGAGGAGGCCAGGAGGGCACCCAGGTCCCTGCGGGCTTTGGGGCGCAGGATATTTGGCTTTAACTCACATGTATGGCAGGCACTGTGCTTGCCATTTTCCATACCCTAACTCACTCCTCCAGCAGCCCTAAGGAGTGGGTGCTGTTATCATTGCACCCTTTATGCAGATGAGGAAACAGGGGCCTGGAGAAGCTACTTCACTTGCCGGGGCTGCCCAGGTGATAAGTGGCCCAGCTGGGGCTCAAACCCTGGAAGTCAAGCCCCAGTGGTCTGAGCCACTTACAGGTTATGGGACATGCCTTTTCTGGGCCTGTTTCCAGTCTGGAGCCCGAGAGTGGATGCAGTGGCTCATTAGAGGGCCATGCAAGCGTGCATTGACATGCTACGTCCCATGCTATGCCCGTGGTGAGGCTCTGTGACCCTTGGGATGATTCTCCTTCTGGCTTTCTAGATGGGCACCAACAAGTTTGCCAGCCAGCAGGGCATGACGGCCTATGGCACCCGGCGTCACCTCTACGACCCCAAGCTGGGCACGGACCAGCCCCTGGACCAGGCCACCATCAGCCTGCAGATGGGCACCAACAAGGGAGCCAGCCAGGTGTGTGGGGGGTCATGGGGTGGGGCTGGTGGGGCCCCTGCCCTCCGCCGTCCCCAGGGTCTGATCGCTGTGTCCTCTGCAGGCCGGCATGACTGCACCCGGGACCAAGCGACAGATCTTCGAGCCAGGGCTGGGCATGGAGCACTGTGACACACTCAACGTCAGCCTGCAGATGGGCAGCAACAAGGGGGCCTCACAGCGGGGCATGACAGTGTATGGGCTGCCACGCCAGGTCTATGACCCCAAGTACTGCCTGACGCCCGAGTACCCGGAGCTGGGCGAGCCCACCCACAACCACCACGCGCACAACTACTACAACTCTGCCTAGGGCCCTGGGCCCCCCACCCTGCCTTCCCCCCCCCAGGGAGGCTAGCTGCTGCTCTCGGCACGGCCGAGCTGGCCCCGCCGACCCCCTCCCCCTGCATGGCGTCCTCCAGCCCCCTGGCATCTGCCTACAGGGTTAGCGTTGCGGTGGGGGGGCAGACTGGGGGGCGTGTGTGTCGGGGGGAAGGGGGCCCTCCTCCCTGGAGCGCCGCAGGATCCAACATCGAGCCGGGTGTGCCCAACAGCACCCAAAGGACGCACTGAGCAAAGCTACCCCAGCTGTCCCCCCACTCCCTCACAGGTGGGTCCCCGCAGGACAAGAAGTCCCCCCAGGCAAAGCCCCCAGAGCCCAGGCTCGGCCCGCCCCCACCCCATCCCCGCAGTGGGAGCAAACTGCATGCCCAGAGGCGCAGCGGACACACGCGGTTTGGTTTGCAGCGACTGGCATAAAATGTGGATGTGACAGCGGCGTTTGTAATGCAAGCACTTTCTTTTTCTATTTCACTGGAGCACAATAAACAGCTGTAAAATCATCCTCTCGGGGCTGCTCTGTCCTGGAGCCTGCGTGGCTCCGGTTCACGTGCTGAGAGGCTTGCTCGGATCCACTCCCATCTCCCACGTACACAGCGGCGCAGACACACACACACACACACACACACACACACACACACACGCCGTGAGACACACACACGGAGCCCGCGGCCGCGCGGCTGGACCCAGGACAGGCACGCACTCACACACAAAATCCGCACACATGCACTACTGTGTGCGGATGGCGAGCGCATACTCTGCAGCCTTGGGCGCGCGCGCGCACACACACACACAACCCCTTTCATAGATACGCACATGCGGTACACGCTCCCACTCAAGACACATCAGCACACACCCTTGCCCGCATACACAATACCCACACACATGCTCGGCACTCGGCCATCTCTCTGGAAAGCCTGGGGTTGTGGTGAAAAAGCCCGAGCACTGGGACAGGCTAGGTGGGGTGTGAATCACGGTTCCGCTTCGCACTAGCTGGGTGACCTGTGGCAACTCACTTGCCCTCCCTAGGCCTGTTTTCCCATCAGGAAGATGAAGACAGAGAGCCTCCTGGGGACATGGGGAAGCTGACATGAAACCGTGCCTCTGGACAGGGGTTGACATTTGGCACTGACCGATGAGAATAGACAAGCTGAGTCCTGGAGGCCCCCGTGGGCAGCTGGGCCCATTCCGCCCTGGAGTGGATTGTGGGCAGGTGGGAGGGGACAAGGCAGTGGAGGAGGATGGGCACTTTGGGGGCCCAGAGCAATGGCCCTTTAAAGACTGGCACAGAGCCGGTGAGTAGCTGACTGCCCGGCGCGGCTGCCCTGTGCGCCCGGCTGACTCTCTGCCCTCTTCTTAGGGCTGATTTCCGAGGCTGGCCTGCCAGCCCAGAGCCCTAGGAATGTGTGGACAGCCTCAACCTCCCCACATTTCCTAGGGCACCCTGTCCTCCGAGTGATGTGGGCCCCAGCTGTCCTGCCTGGAAGCCACCACCTGCAGAGTTCCAAGGAGAAGATGGGGTGGTGGCGGCAGGGGTTAGAAAAGTGTTCTCCCCTTCCTTCCCTGTAGCAGGGGATGATGCTGGAACATGGGGACTTGCAGAGACAGACACTGGAAGACCCACATGCACAGACGCACACAGCCCCTGGGGCCTTGTAAAAGGGATTCCAGGCGCTCTTGGCCTGGCTAGTGTAGGTCCTGCTCCCCCAGGGCTGGCATGGGGAAGCTATGCTGAGAAGGATCCATGCCTGGCCCAGGGCCCTGCCTCCTCAGGAAAACGGCACCATATTAGCACTTGGCTTGTGTAACTGGGGTGGGCGGGCCCTGGAAGCCAGAGGAATGAGCCCCCTTTCTGCTGGACCACCGAGGGCACCCCCCACCCAGGCGCCTGTCCAAGGCTCTGCCCATGCCCACTGGCTCCTGCCTGGGCCAGGGGACCTTAACCTGGGACTTTGGAGGGGGAGGTGGGAACACCCGGGAGAGGCATGTCAGGGGCAGGGTGGGCCTGGGGGGGGGGGCACATGCTGGACCCAGCGGCTGGGCCTAGTGGCCCAGGCTCTGGCCCAGGCTCCTAGCCAGCTCAGCGTCTCCCTCCCTCGGCTGTTCACACCCCTTACTGCCCTGGGTGGGTCCCAGTCACTCAAACCCAGGCACTCCGCCGGGCCCCTCCAACCTCAACATGGCCCCAGAAGGTTCCATCATCCTTCCTGCTATATCGAGGAGGATTGCAAAGCACAGGTCACCTGGTGCCCAGGCTCGAGGCTGGGTACAGGTGCTGATCAGCCCCAGGCTGTCAGAGCATCAGGACCTCTGTAACTGCAAGACCGTCTGAGGGCACCATGCAATGCGCAGGTGTTCAGCATCAGCCAGGTTCAGAGGCATTTTTTCCAAAACCACCAAGCAATTCACTCAATTCCGACACGACCTAGAGACAGCATCAGATCCCACAGGGTAAGGGCTCAGTCTCATGAAACTGTCCCTCCACTTTCAGGCCCATTGCCAAGTCCAGGTTGTCACCTGTGCTTCTCATCGACCAGCAATAGATCCGGGATTCCCCCTGACCACCTCCTCAGGTTTGATTCATTTACCAGAGCGGCTCACAGAACTCAGAGAAACATTGTATTTTTTTAGATTACAGGTTTATTAGAAAAGAATTTAAATCAGGACAGCCAGATGGAAGAGGTGCCCGGGCCAAAGTGTGGGGACGGGGCGTGGAGCTCCCATGCCCTCCCCAGGTGTCCCCCTCTCCCAGCAGCTCCACAGGTTCACCATCCCCGAGCTCATCAAATCGTGTTGAAGTTTTTATACAGCTTAACCTGCAGCCCCCCTTTCTCTTCCTCAGAGGTTGTGGGTGTTACTGAGGGTCCCACTCAGTGATCACACCGTCTTTTGGTGGCCAGCATCAACTCAGTTGTGATCAAAAGAGGCGCCTTTGAGTGACAAAAGACACCATCATTCAGGAAACTGCAAGGGTTTGAGGAACTCTGTGCCAGGAACTAGGGACAAAGGCCACTATTTATTGTATCACACACGTGCATCTGGCCCCACCTCCAGCCTCCAGTGACCCCTCATCACCTCTGGAAAAAGGTCCCTTTCATGGACCCTTCATCTTCTACAGTGCTCTCACTTCCTCCCCAAGGAAGCCATGAGCAGGTTCCTTAGCCTGGACCCTGGACTCATAGGAAGGCAGACCCTGGGCTATGAAGCCAGGCCTCCTGGGTTCAAGGCCCTGCTCTGCATCCTTTTGGCTCTGGGACCTCGGGCCAATGACTTCCCATCTCTGGCCCAATTTGTCACTGTGAGCCCGGGGCACCCGCCTCACAGGAGGGACAGAGTGGGCCTGGAATGTTACTTCCGTTAGGCTGCCCCCCAGGAAGCCTTCTCGGATTGCCCCAACCAACCCCCCATCCCACCCCAGGCTCCAGTGGCCCCACTTTGTTGTGCCTGTAAATGCCTGGCCAGACATCTGTGGGTTCACCCATGTTCCTTGGGGCCAGCACTACCCTGGTTTCACCCTGAATGCCTGTTGCGTGGACAAAATGGACATTTGGGGACTAACCAAACCCCATCTCCAACGGCCCGCCAGGCCACCTCCGAATGCCTCCATCTCCCCCTCTCCCTCACTGAGCCCCTGGGCCTGACCCAGAACCCAGGAAATCACAGAGAGGCAGGAGTCTGCATCGGCTGCTTTATTTAAGGGCTTGCGGCTGACAGATATCCCCGACCCAGCCCCTCCTCCTCTACAAAAGCAACTAAACATGAAAAGGGGCTGTTCTGCCAGGGCTCAGCCAAGGGGGCTACAGGACCGTGGCTCTGAATCTCAGGCCACAGGCCTTGGAAGCCAGGGAAGGAGGGAGGGCAGTCCAGTTCAAATGGGCAAGGTGCTGGTGAGGTGGGTGAGGAGGCTGGAGGGTCCTGAGGCAGCCTCTGCTGGCCTTGTCCTTGCCCAGAATGTCCAAACACCAGCTCTGAGGAGGAGCAAGCAAGTTAAAGGCTTTCAGAGCCAAGTGAAGCACTTCAGGCTCCCCCCGGGGGCGGGGGGGCAACAACCCCACTTCACCTCCAGTCCGTTCCCACACGCACACTGCCACGGCCACGCTTGCGGCCGCACACACTCACACTCACACCCACTCCATACACGCAGAGGGCTGTGAAGGCCCTGGACCCACACCCTGGACCCTGGAATGTCTCTGGACTGGTAGCCAGCGGGGCAGGTCCACGGCAGGCAGCACTGCCAGGGGAGTGGGTCCTCGGCATTGCTACTGATTGGCGGCCTCGCAGGCATCTATCCAATCGCTGTACACGTCCACTGGTTCTGACAGATCTGGGCCGCTGAGGTCAAGGGCGACTGGTGGCACTGGACCCCTTCCCTGTACACACCTCTCACCGGTGTCAGCCAGGTCCCCGCCCTACACCCTACATATGCCAGCAGGTGGCACCTCTCTTCCCCTGGGCAGTCACAGCCCTGCACGGTGGCAAACAGCAGGACCAGAGGAACAGAAACCGGAGGCCAGTCCCCCTGCTCCTGGCCAGGTGCCCTAGGGCAGCCCATCCGGGGCAGGGGAGCCCTAACTGCCCCCAACCCTCCATTCCCCACCTCACCCCACCTTCCAGGAAAAGCCCGGCTTCCCAAGGATACATGTGATGGGTGTCTGGAATTCCTCTAGGCACACGGTACAGGAGATGACTCCGGTGTTGCGGGCACGATCCCTGGAACAGGAGGAGGTGGGGGCCTGGTGAGTAAAGGAGCCTGTGTCTCTCGGTGAGGACCTCCCTACCTGGGAAGGTCTGGGGCAGAAAGGAGGATGGTGGGAGCAGGGAAGCTGCCTCCCGACTTTGAGAGGAGAGAGGAGGCCCGGTCCCCCACTCACATTTTTACGTCACAAGACTTCTCGTGGTTGCAGAAGGGGCAGGTGAACTGGGTCTCTAGGGTGCCGGTCATCTTCTTTTTGGGGGGTGGCTTCCGTTTCGATTTTCTGCGCCCCATGTCTGTAGGAGGACAAACCTGGGGGGGGGGCAGAAGTCAGCAACTCAAGGGGACCCACAGAGCCCTCCAGCTTGACGCTCTGGGAAGCCGGCGGGGGAAGAAGGCGGGGCTGGCACCTCAGGCTCCGCCCCTGAGGGAGGAGACTCCCAGGCCCCCGGCGGGCGGACAATCCAGGTCCACTCGGCGCAGCGGGGGATGGGAGCACGCTCTGGCATCAGGTAGCCTGAGCTCTAATCCTGGCCCTCCCCTTACTGGGGGACCTCAGGCTGGTGACTTAAACTCTGTGCCTCAGTTTCCTTTTAGTAAAACTGAGATGAAGCTGCTATTTCAGAGGGGTCTTGTGGGGCTGCCACGCCACATGGTAAGTAAAGCGCCGAGCACAGAACCTGGCCCGTCCATAATCGGCACCCACACAGGATGCCACTGTTCCTGCTGAGGATGATAGGAGAGACTCTGACAGACCAGCGGCACAGGGCTGGGCAGGGCCTGAGTGCTCAGAAGCCGGTGATTTTTAGGAGCAGCTGCTCCTCTTGTCAAAGGGACATGCAAGTTGCACCCAGGAGGAATGACACTCAAGGAATTTGACAGATCCTCCGGATGAACCTCCTGGGCTGCCTCTCCACAGATAAAGAGCTGTTGGGCAGAGAAGAGGGGACAAGCATCTCCAGTAGAGAAACGCCACATACCAAGCCTGAGGACAGGCGTCTGAGGGCCCCCGCCAGCATTTGGGGACCATACAGGCAGGGGTGTGGGGAAGGCTAAGGAGGGAGCAGGGGCAGGTGGGAGGGGTTTGGATGGATCCTGGGGGCAGTGGGGAGAGGAAGGATGAAATCTCTGCCTTAATAAAGCATCGAGGAGAACAGGTCAGAGGTCTGAATGCACATGAAGTCAGAACCAGGACCTGGAGGGATGGCAGTGGGTGAGAGACCGAGACAAATCAGTGGAGTGAGTGTGGCGAGAGAAGCAGGGGTCCAGGATGACTCCTAAAGTGGTGGGGGATGGAGAGGCTGGATGGGGGAGAAGGTGGCATCATTCTCTGATGTCTAATGCACAGGAAGAACAAGCTGTTGGGGAAATGATGGGGTCAAGTACCAGAGGGACATCTAGGGACAGACATCTTGGAAGCAGGGGCGACAACTGAGCATGTCTCCCGCGGCAGGCACTGTGCTCAGGGCTCAACGATCACCAGACCTGGGAATGCCTCCCCAAGGCCCTCTCCCCTCTCGCCGCACACCCTCTCCCCCACCTGTGTGGCTTTAGCATCATTCTGCCCTGACACGGGAGGCCAGCAGCCTGCCAAAATAAACACCAGAATTTCACTCATATTTCACAATCGCTCTCTACATACCATCCTCAACTTAGGGTGTTCCCAATTCTCTGAGTAAACAGAAGTAGTCCATAGAGAACATCCACAAGCCCCCAAGACCCCCCCATTCTGCCTTCCCTCCTTTGCTAGGGAAGAATGTCCATGCTCCCCACAAAACCAATTTGTTACCTTGTCTCCTGGGTCCCAACAACACATTTTCTCTCTCCACTAGATCATTAACAAACACAGTTATTAAATACATCTTAAAAACAACCACCTCGTGGGGTGCCTGGGTGTCTCAGTGGGCTGAGCATCTAATTCTTGATTTCAGCTCAGGTTATGATCTCAGGGTCATGGGATCGAGTCCCGCGTAGGACTCCGCACGCTCAGCACAGGGTCGGCTTGGGATTCTCTCCCTCTGTCCCGCGTCCCTCCTACCACGCAAGGCCTGGGGCTCTCTTTCTAAACAAAAACACAACCACCTTTTCATTCTGTGGGCTTTTCTAGCAGAGCTGTCTGCACTCACTGCTTGCATTCATTTCCTCCCATTCTCCCTCTACCTCCCACCATTCTGCTCACCCCCTCCTCAGGGCACTGGACACATGGGTCCCTCCTCCCACCCTTCCCATGCGGCTCTCAGGACCCTGCACTCTGTCCCAGCCTCACTGGTGGTGCCTTTCAGTTTCTGCTGTTGCTGCTGCCCCCAGCCCCAGCCCAGAAGTCTCTAATGGTACATGAGCCCACAAGCTCAATCTTTGGGCTCCATTTCATTTGTTATTTTTTATTTTTTTTAAAGATTTTTATTTATTCATGAGAGAGAGAGAGAGAGAGAGAGAGAGAGGCAGAGGGAGAAGCAGGCTCCCAAGGAGCAGGGAGCCCGATGCGGGACTCGATCCCAGGACGCTGGGATCATGACCTGAGCCGAAGGCAGACGCTTAACCATCTGAGCCACCCAGGCGCCCCTGGGCTCCATTTCATGTGCACTCACCTCCATGGAGATCTCGCCCTGACTCAGGGCTTCAAATGCCTCCTCCATACTGATGCCTCCCGATTTCACCATCCTCAGTGTCTCCTCTCAACTACAGACTGGCTCGTTTAACTGCCTCGGCTACACCTTCACCTGATGTTAACACACGTTTAAACATAACCCATCCAAAACCAAGCTGCTGACACCTCAAGGGGCTCTTCCGGCCTTCCCCATCTCAGCAGATAACGAACCCATCTATCCAAAAAACTTGGACTCACCCTAGATTCCTTTCTCTCCCTCTCACACCCCTTATCTGATCCTGATCCTGCTGCCCTCCCTCTAAAAGACATCCAGAGGGCGCCTGGGTGGCTCAGTTGGTTAAGCGACTGTCTTCGGCTCAGGTCATGATCCTGGAGTCCCGGGATCGAGTCCCACATCGGGCTCCCTGCTCAGCAGGGAGTCTGCTTCTCCCTCTGACCCTCCCCCTCTCATGTGCTCTCTCTCTCTCTCATTCTCGCTCTCTCAAATAAATAAATAAAATCTTTAAAAAAAAAAAAAAGGACATCCAGAATCTGCCCACTTCTTGCCAAGACCATGGTCTGAGTCCAGGAGTCCTGGTCATGCTCACACAGCCTCCTCATTGGTCTCCCTGCATCTCCTTCCCTGCCCACCTCCCTCCAAATGTAAATTCTATGGTGGCAGGGATTTCTGTCTTGTCTTTGTATCCCCAGAGCCTAGAACTGCTGGTGGCCCAGAGCTGGCATGCAACAAATGTTTACCGAATGAATGAATGAACCAATGCCAGGCCCTTCGCTAACCACAGCAATGCTGCAATCGAGGCAGGCAAAGTGTCTGCTCCGGTGGAAGCTCTATTCTAGTAGAAGCAAAGAGACCCTTGGGCGCCTGGGTGGCTCAGTTGGTTAAGCGACTGCCTTCGGCTCAGGTCATGATCCCGGAGTCCTGGGATCGAGTCCTACATCGGGCTCCCAGCTCAGTGGGGAGCCTGCTTCTCCCTCTGACTCTCTCCCCTCTCATGCTGTTTCTCCCTCGCTCGATCTCTAATAAATAAATAAAATCTTAAAAAAAAAAAGAGAGACCCTCAACAATGTAATAAGAGAAATAATTTCAATTATCAGTAAGTGCTGTGAGATTAATCAATCAGGGCTAAGGGAATACTTCCGGAGTGAAGAATCACCTGGGTGGGGGGGGGGTGCTCAAAAAAATGCAGATTTCTGAACCTCATCTCAGACCTGCCCCCAGTGGAACGGGGTGGGAGGCACGATTTGCTCACTGCTGAATCCCCAGCACGGGTAGTGCCTGGTATGCATTAAGCGCTCAATAAATACTTGTTGAATGAATAAATAAGTCTCTTGAATCAGAAGGTACGGATGGGCCCCAGAATCTCATTTTACCCGGCGTCTGCTGCATCCCCAACCCCACAGCAGAAAAGGGGTCTGGCCTGTACACAAAGCTCCGGGGGCCTTAGCCACCCCTGTGGCGACCTAAGTCCAAGCGCGCCAACGGGGCCCGGAAAAGGGATCGGTCCCCAACCCTGCCGTGACTCACGCGGCGGCGAGTGAGCGGTCCCTCCAAGCTCACAGAGGGTTCGGCGACGCCTCCCGCCGGCCGCCCGGGGGAGCCGGGCCACCGAGCAGCCGCGCTTAGCGGGCTGGGGTCCGGGGGAGCCAAGCTCCCCGGCAGGCCACCCCCCAAACCCGGGGTCCTCGACGCCTCCTCCTGGACCCCGTGAGCGTCTCCAAGTAGAAGACTGCCCACTCACGCCAAGCCCCAACGCCCGCCGGTGCGAACCGTCACCTACACTCTTCCCCTCGTTGCGACGGCCTCGTTCACCCGGGAGACAGTGGCTTCCGTCTCCCGCCGGAAGCAGAAACCCCTCTCCTCTTCTCACGCGAGGCCGGGACCGCCCCGCGAGCAGGCCCCGCCTCCTCCAGTGCACACGCGTACTCGCGTACCGGGCCGGGAGGCGGGGTCGTAGTGCGCCTGCGCTTTGGACTGTGGTCCTGCGCACCCCGCTTCTGGTGAGTTCCCAGAAGTGGCTGTTACCGCGTTTCGGGAGCGGTGGTGGCTGGGAGTTTCCAGCATTGGAAAAGGCTGACTTGCCCTTGGCCGCAGCATCTTCACTTGTCTTTTCTCTCAGTTCAAGCCCCACCCCCTCGCAGCCCACCTGGATCCCCCAACTGCGGACACATTCAAATATCTCAGTGCTAAGGAACAGCAAATACCAGTACGGCTGAGCCGGTGATGGGGGAGCTTGTCGGACTCTCTTCTCAAACTTCAATAAGAGCCTGCGGATCTTCTTAAAGTTCAGGTCTGATTCATTAGGTCAGGTGTGCGGTCTAAAAGTCTGCATTTCCCAGTGACGTCCATGCTGCTGGTCCGCGGACCACCCTGTGTGCTGAAGTTATAATAGAAAAGGTTGAATAGGCATACACGGACCAGATCAGGTGGAGTTTTGTGGGCCATGTTAGGGAGGTTTTGGAGTTGGGGGAGGAAGGAATAAGGCTCTACGAATCCCACAATTTAGGGAAGAGGCTGGACATAAACATAAAGGATCAATTACTACACTCTTCAGTGCAGTAGAGGAATATGTGTGGATCTCAGAGCATATGATGGTGGAGGGGGCTGCCAAACTAGTCTGAGAGGTTAGGGAAGGCTTCTCTGGTAGGCTGACGCTGAGGTTGAAATCGAAGACTGATCAGGAATTACACAGAGATAGCACCTGCAGAACTTCTGATGGAGTGAAGAAGAGAAAGGGATCAAAGACAATTTCCACTGTCTGGAGCCCCTGGGTGCTGCCTCTCAGAGATGATTTGGAGGAGAAATCAAGGGTTGCGTTCTAGCCATGATTTTTGAGACAAGCAAAGAGAGGTATGGGGAAGGCCATTGGAAGTGGAGTCTGGGGTTCAGATGAAGGATCTGGATGTCATTTTGAGAGTCATTCACCTGTGGGGGTTATCTGAAGCCTTGGAGCCAGAGGAAGTCACCTCGTTTCAAGGTGGGGGGTAAAGTATAGCAAAAGAAGAGGACTAAGAAGGAGGCCAGGGCACCCCATCCTTAGATGTTAGGAGAAGGAGTCAGCAAGAGACTGAGCGGACTGGTGAGGTAGGGAGGGGAGAGAGAGGCGAGTGTCCTTTCCCAGAAGCCTCCAGAAGAAGGAATTTCAAGAGAGGGAGAGTGGTCAGCTATGTCACATGTGGTTTCAAGAGAATTAACTCTGTTGACTCAGCAAGTGTTTGGTCACTGGTGACCTTGATAAGAGCTGTTTCATTAGAGTGTTCAGGAAAATAATTTGTAATGACATGTATTTAAGTTGAGCTATCTTCAAGGTATCCCCTAGGGGGCAGTGTTACCCTTGGAACTGACTAGGGGACCCTTTTTCAGTGCTGATACAAACTTGTACACACACAGGATGCGATCATACTATATATCACCTTGCAACTTGCTATTTACACTGAATAGTCAAAACACATACAAGTAGCTTTTGTTTTTAGTAGCTACACAATTCATATTGCAACTTGGCCATAGGATATGGACAATCCTATATTTGCTCACGATTGCCAGGTTTGTTTGTTTCTTTTCTTTCTCATTCTATTTTTTCTATTTCTCTCTCTCTCACATTCTTCCTTCCTTCCTTCTTTTCTTCCTTCCTTCCTTCCTTCCTTCCTTCCCCCCCAGCTTTATTGAGATATAAGTGACAGACAATAAATCACAGGTAAACTATGAAATTTCGTGTTTTGACCTATGTGTACACCCATGAAACCCTCACCACAATTAAAATAGTGAATGTATCTATCACTCCCAAAAAGTTTCCTTTTTAAAAAAAAAGATTTTATTTATTTGAGAGAGAGACAGAGAATGAGCAGGGGGAGGTGCAGAGAGAGAGAAAGCAAAAGGAAGAAGCAGACTCCCCACTGAGCAGGGGAGTCTCCCCGTGGGGCTCGAACCCAGGACCCTGAGATCTTGACCTGAACTGAAGGCAGACGCTTATCTGACTGAGCCACTTAGGTGCCCCAGCCCCCCGAAATTTTCCTCACGTTTCGTTGTAGTCAGTTCCTGCCCCTGCCCCTAGCCCCTGGCACCAACTGATCTCTTTTCAGTTCCTATAGCTTTGTATTTTTCAGAAAGTCCTATGAACAGAATCATACATTACGTATAGTCTTTTGAGTTTAGCTTCTTTTGTTCAGCTTACTCGGTTTGAGACTTGTGCATGTTGTGTCTATCATTAGTTTACCTCATTTTATCAGTGAGTTGCATTCCATTGTGTGCACGGACCACAGTTTGTTTATCCTTGCACCTGTTGATGGACATGGGTTGTTTCCAGTTTGGGGCAGTTAATGAGTAGGGCTGGTCTGAACCGCCTCATTCAGATCTTTGTGTGGATGTTCGTGTTCATCTCCTATGGTGTTTTATTTCTATGCTAAAAATATGTGATCCCTCTGGGTTTTAATTTTTGTCAATGGTCTGAAGTAGGGCTCAGGGTCTGTCTTCTGGGAAAATTAACAAGGCAAATAACACCTTTCCATGAAATTACAGGGCCGCCTTCAACCTGCATCACGTTCTCATGTGTTCTTGAATTTGTTTCTGGATTTCCTCGGGATGTTTTCTCTGAGCTCGTGTCATGTTGTTTGTTTTTGTGTTTTTTTTTTTAAAGATTTTGTTTATTTATTCATGAGAGACAGAGAGAGAAGCAGAGGGAGAAGCAGGCTCCCCGTGGAGTAGGGAGCCCGATGCGGGACACGATCCCAGGACCCTGGGATCATGACCTGAGCCAAAGGCAGCCGCTTAACAACTGAGCCACCCAGGCGCCCATGTTGTTTTGATGACAGTGCATTTCGTAAGGCGGGTCTCTCACCTTATTATTTATGATTCTTGGCCTGCGAGGTTGGTGAGGGTGGGGCCTGAACTCCAGGACAAGCTGCTGGCCCGGCACCTGGGGTGAGGAGTGGAGTGCAGGACATGAGAATATCCGTGATGGTTGGATCACTAGAGGTTGCCTGGGGAGAGTGAGAGGAGATGAGAGCCTGTGAGTGGCCTTGAGGAGGTCTGCCATCTTGTTCTTGGACGTTTAGAAGGCATCTAACAGTGGCTGCGTGCTAGCTGGCTTTGTCCCCTGAGCTGGATGGAAGCCTTCCGAGGGCGAGTGTCTGCCCTGCCTTCTTCTTTTTGGCTCTCCTTGGGTCTGCAGCTGCCTGGCACAAGGCTTGGTCATTGTGGAGAAGGGGGCCTGGTTGACAGTCCGGCTCCCTGCCCCTCATTCCCTGTGTCAGCTTGGATGTGTCACTTCTCCTTTCCATGTGCTGGGCCCTGTGAACAGGGACATTGGGCTAATTCCACGCTCGGGGCCCTGTGAACAGGGACATTGGGCTGACTTCTGATTCAGCTCCCTGCCTGCCCGGAGCCTCTGAGTCAGTGGGAAGAGGCTGGGGAGCTGTGAACCGCCTTGGCTATTGTGGTTAAGATTAAGGGTCTGCCACTTCCTTGGCATGACCTTGGGCACATCGCTTAATCTGTTGAGCTCTCGAAAGTCCTCAGAGAAGCAAGGATGATTCTGGCCCTTACCTCATGGGTCAGGATCAGATGTGATGGTGTTTTTTGGCATAGAGCTTGGCTGATACTCATGCCAGGCAGGTAAACATCAGCTGGAAGGAACCCAGGGCTGGCATTTTGGTGAGAAAGCTTTGCTTCATGTTTGCAGGAACCTGGGTGTCTGTAACAAATGCAACAAGATCAACTTCTATCAAGTAGCAAATGGAAGGTGCCCCTTGCAGCCAGTTCCTCTCCCTGGAAGTGACTCAGTTGCATTTTGTCCAAGTTGTTACTTCATTTCACTCAGTGGGGCTGACAGTTGGAGGTACACAAGTGGGTCCCTGCCCTGTGGCAGCTGAAGTGACAGTTGAGGGCGGGCCAAGGGAGCAGTTTCTGTGACCTGCCTCTCCCTGGCTGGCTCAGGCGGTGTGTGGGTGGGTGTTACTCAACTCTCCCCCTAGGGGAACTGGGCTTCTCTGCAGCTCTCGACTCAGGATGCACATTCTGCTTTCAGCATTTGTTGTAAGAAATGGGCCGCCCTGCCATAATTCTGCTTCTGAAAGTTTTCCTGTGTACCTACTTGCACAGATGTACAAAAGCACATGGGCCCAGGGGTATCCACTGGAGGTGTGTGTGTGTGTTTAAAGATTTTGTTTATTTATTTGAGAGAGAGATTGAGAGAACGAGTGGGAGGAGGGGCAGAGGGAGAAGCAGACTCCCTGCAGAGCAGGGAGCCCAATGTGGAACTCCATCCCAGGACCCCAAGACCATGATCTGAGCCGAAGGCAGACACTTAACTGACTGAGCCACCCAGGTGCCCTGAAGCTGGGTTCAGGGAACACATAAGAGGGAAGAATTGGAAAAGATTTCAGCGGGCCCCAGCCAGGAGCCAGGGACATAAGGTGGAAGCTCCATGGCTATCATAAAGAATTGCAGTCCCACTTGTGGGAACGTATCCAATTTATCCTACAAATGTATCTGTGCAGGGAGGAAATGAACACATAGAGGTATTTACTGCAGCAGGTTTTTGAGGATAGCAAAATTATTGGAAGCAATTCAGACAACCCTCGGTAGATGGCTGGCTAGTTAGATAGACAGTGGGATCAGGCGGGGCCTCTGTAGCTGTAGAAAGAGCCAGAAGCTCCCCTGAGAGCTGATGGGCAGATTTCCAGGTACCACAGACAGCAACAGCCAAGTGCAAAGTGAACCTTTGGGGCTGTGGGAAACGCTTTTATCTTGATGGTAGTGGTGGGTTTGTGGCTGGGTGCCTGTGTCAAAACTCAACGAACTGCACCCTTTAAATGTGTCAATGACACGTCCATACAGTTGGTTTGAAAACAACAAATAAGCAA